CTGCTGCTGCTGCTGCGGACTGAAGTCCTGCGGGGAGGAGGTGCGGCCACAGCAGCAGGAGGAGGCGGAGGAGGAGGCGGGGAGGTGCAGACTCGGTTTGAAGTCCGGGGAGGGGAGGAGGTGGGTCACACCCGCGTTTGCGCCGCCGCCGCCACCGCCGGCGCGGGGGTTGGCGAGTTTCTCCGCGGCCGCCGCCCCCGGGAGCGGCCGCGCCGCGGGCTGCGGGGTCAGGCCCAGCAGCAGCTCATCCTGCATGGTGGGCGCCAGCGGCGGCGGCGGCGCCGGGTGCGGGGAGGAAGAGGAAGCGAGCGGGCCGCCCGCGCGGCCGCCGCCGAGGGCGATGGAGAAGAGGGAGGCGGCCTCCGGGAAGCCGGTGACAGGCAACGGCGGCCCGAAGGGCGTGGCGCGGGGCGGCGGGGCGGCCGAGGGGCGGGACGTGCCAGCGCCCAGCGAGGGGCCGGGGCTGCCTTTGCGCAGCGGGGAGGTCTGCAGCACCCCAAACCCCAAGTCCCTCATTTATCAAGCCGGCAGCCGCGGGAAAAGACGCGCCCGGGTCCCCTGATCGGCGGCCGCAGGACGAGACGCGCCCCGGGGCCCCCCGATCGGCGGCCGCGGGGCGTGGGGCTGGCGCGGCCTTGGTGGAAGGAGGAGGGAAGTCAGTGACACAGGGGACACAGTGACTGGGCCGGGGAGGGCCGATTTCGGCCCGCCACCCGTCACGGCGGGCTCCGCAGCCTCCTGAAACCGGCTCGGGCCCCGCCGCTGCCGCCCTCGCCGCCGCCGCCCCTCGCCGCTTAAGAAGCCCGGCTCGTGGGTCAGCGCCACCTCACAATCACGCCGCCCCCCGCCTGCGCGCCCCGGCACGCGCGGGCGCGAGGCCGCCCCGCCCCTGCCCCGCCCCCTTATTAATAAGCTGGCTGAGCCGAGGAAGGGGGCGCGCGCACGCGGTGCGGCTCGCGGCCACTCGCGGACGGAGGGGAGGCGGGAGCGAGCGGCACGTGCCCGCACGCCCCTCGGGCGGCTCCGCGGAGGAAACGAAAGGCCGGTTGGGCCGCAGGAGGGTCTTGAGCGCCGGGCGCGCACGCGTGCGCTCGGGAGCGAGCCGGCGCAGGGGTTCCTGGGCAACGGTCCCTCCCGGCCCGGCGGCGCCCGAGCCCCGCCCCCTCGCGCATGCTCCGCCCCCTTCCTGTCATCTGGGCCCCGCCTTCAGTCACGTGAGCCGCTGCGGGGCTTCCCTAGGCGGGGTTGGTCCGCCCGAGAAGCATGGGATCCCGAAAGCAAAGCAGATATTGGGGGACCCCGTAGCCCCGCAAGCCTGACACTGTCATCGTAGCCCGCAGCCGTGTCACCGCCCGTCCTCCGGCCCAGCCTGGGTCCTTTCTCGCATTTTCTGATTCAGGCTCTCGCTGCTTTTTTTACCCCGCACCTTGGTCTCTGCCTGGGCCTCCACCTTCTCTGTCCCCTAAGCGCCTCAGAGTAGTTTCTGCCTCCAGTGGGCTGTCTCCAGCCTCTTTGCAACACGTGAAGGGGCTTTCGTGCTGGTAAACACCAAACACTTGGTGTTCAGCAAAGTGGAACCGAGTTCCGGAAAGGCACGCACCTCCCAGTGGTTATTTACACATAGCTGCATAAACAGGTTCCCGGCGCAGCACCTGGGGTAACTAAGCCTGGGTCAGTGCCAAGTTTCCCCTTATAGACTGTAAGATCCTGGGGTGGCTCCAACCTAGCGGGCGTCCCCGCCCACTTCCCCTGGGGAGATTCTAATTTAAACATTTCCGAAACTATGCATTTCCAAGGGAAAAGATTTCCCACGTCAGAGGGGGAAAAAAAGGAGGTTCTGACTCAGCAGCTGACTTGTTGAGACTTGCAGAATAAAAGGGCAAGAGCTTTCGTCGCCTGAGCTCTCAATGTCTTGAAAGAGGAGCTGATTCTGTGGGTTTCCTTTCCAAAGGTTTTACCTAGAGCAGGGAAGAAAGGGAAAAACAAAACAAAACAAAAACAAAAACCCTAAACAAAACCCTATGCATGTACACATAGTAAATGAGGATGTAAACAGAGTAATGATAAAATGATTCTACTTAATAAGATGAGAATTTCATGCTCCTGTTTCATCCTTTTAACTGTTTATCTTGGTCAATAGAAGAGTAAAACTTCCCAGAGAAACCTAGATCGTGGGTGGGCTTGAATCCCAAAATCAATAGAAGGGAGAGTTCATACTCTACCTAATTTTCCACAGCACCTAACAACAACAACAATAAGTGGACTAAAAGAAAGCATTGGATGTTGTAAATTAGCACCATTTTAAGGAACTCTGGTGGTTTAGTGATAAGAAGTTGTGCTGCCAACCCAAAAGCAGGTGGTTTGAATCTGCCAGCTGCTCCTCAGGAGAAAAAAGGAGAACTCTTCAGGGTGATTTGCAGCTCTGAAACCCTGATGGACGATCAGTTATGAGTCTGTTCCTCCTGCACAGTACATTACAGAATACTGATATTGCACATTTTCCTACATTCTATTATTTATTACGTAAATATTGTGGATGACACAGCCCTGCTTGCTGAAACTGAAGAGGACCTGAAGCACCTGCTGCAGAGGGTCAAGGACTGCAGCCTACAATATGGATTGAGGCTCAATGTCAAGAAGACAAAGATTCTCACCACTGGACCAATTGGCAGCATCAGGATGGACGGTGAAGAGATTGAGATTGTACACAGCTTTAGTTTGCTTGGCTCCCCAGTCAACAGTCTTGGCACCAGCAGCCAGGAAATTAAAAGGTGCGTTGCCATGGGAAAGTCTGCTGTTAGGGACCTCTCCAAAGTACTGAAGAGCAATGGTGTCTCTCTGGAGAATAAGGTGCGTCTGATACAGGCCATGGTCTTCGCAATCACTTGTTATGCATCAGAGAGTTAGACAATAACCAAAGAGGATAGAAGGAGAATTGATGCCTTTGAGCTGTGATGCTGGAGAAAAGTATTGAGAATACCATGGACTGCTAGGAAAACAAACAGATTTGTCCTGGAAAGGGTTAAACCGGGTGGCTCGTTGGAGGCAAGGATTCTGAGGCTCCGTCTAACATACTTTGGACATGTTGTGAGGAGAGACCGCTCCTTGGAGAGGGACATCATGCTTGGGAGGGTGGAGGGACGGCGCAGGAGAGGAAGGCCTTCTATGAGGTGGATTGATTCAGTGACTGGGATAATCGGGATGGGAGTGTTGGAGACAGTGCGATTGGCACAGGACAGAGCGGAGTTTAGGGCTGTTGTACATAGGGTCACTATGAGTCGCAAGCGACTTGACGGCACATAACAACAACAATATTGCATAAATTACACTATTACATAAATAATAGTGTTTTGTATTCCAAGTGTGTAATATTTAAATGTGTTTTATTATGTTAGGTTGTTTTGTTCAAAGAATCCAGAAATTTGATTATAGTAGTCAAAACCCATCAAAGCAGGACTCAAGAAATCAAAAGGCATTGTATTGGAAAATGTGTGGCAAAGACTTTTTTCAAGCAAAATTGTCACTTCACTTTGGGGATTAAGGTATAATTTGACATAAACCATGGTATTTCAGTCACCTTATGTGCATACGATAGCTGAACAATGAAGAAGAGTTGATAAATTTTAATTGTATTGTTAAAGAAGATTGAATGTATTGAGAAGATGAATGAATAAATCAGTCTTGGAAGAACAGCCAGAGTAAAAAATGTCCCTTAGAAGCAAGGATGGCCATTGTCACAAACTTTTGACATTATCAGGGAGGATGATCTCAGTCCCTAGAGAAGGAAATGATGCTTGGTAAAGAAGTTTTTCTGTACCGCGGAGTTGCAAAAGACTCCAAACTGGCCCTCCAGCAGATTTTCAGAAACAGTAAATTGCACAGGGGAAGATTGCCCAACATTTCCCCTCAGAGCCACTGGTTGGTTTGAACTGTGTGCCTTTGGGTTGACAATGCAACACTTTACCACTCAGCTGCCAAAGCACCCTGGTAAGTGAGAAGATCAGTAAAAAGAGGAAGATCCTGGATGAGATGGATTGACACAAAGGTGGCAGCAAAGGTCTCAAAGATGGTACCAATTGTGAGAAGGGTAAATGACCAGGCACTGTTTAGCTTTGTTTTATACATAGGGTCGCTGTGAATAAGAACTGACTCGATAGCGTCTAAGACTATGAATAAAAAGAAGACTGATAGCGTCTAAGACTATGAATAAAAAGAAGTTATATAAACATTTTAAAAGATGGCAAGTTTCATGAAAAGTAGCACAGGGGAAGTGAAATCATGCAAAGCAAGAAGGAGGAGCCCCTTCAGTGAGGTGAACTGGCACAGTAGCTGCCGTTGCCAGCTTAAACATTGCAACAGTTGTAGGAATGGGGCAGGACCTGGCAGTGTATGGGTACATGGAGCAGAGGGCCTTCAAGAATACCAGGAGCACCTCTAACAACACTTCAATTTTATTTCAGCATCTCTTAAATCAATCTTTCATAACCAAGTAAATCACACAGTAGGTACACAATACCATTGGTAGAGGAAATGTTTTATGTGGTGTATCACAACATTGTTGTTAAGTGCTGTCTAGTAGGCAACTCATAGTGATCCTGTGAACAAAAGTCCTCAACATTTGCGTGGCTTTCATCCTTTTTCTAGGTTCATAGGGTTTCCGGAGGCAAGCTGTTTATGGAAGTGGATACTACTCCTGCTTCCAGGGAAGCCCCACCAAACACTGTCCACCAAGGGTAACCATTATCCCATTTGGCATACCAGTGTCACAATGTTCAGCTTCACAGCCACCACAAGTATGGCAAGTGGACAGACCAGGGTTAAACGACCTCGTCTAATATTGATACTGCCTGCATACTAACAAAACAAATCCCTTAAAAAAAATACATAAATTGTTCCAAATCTGGTTAGGCAATCAGAGTTAGTAAGGACCAAAATATAAACGCTAATTAAGTTACTATGACCATAAAACCTGAGTTCATAGGACTTGAAAAGTATAAATGGCCATTTTTACATCACCTGTTGACCTATTTGTAAATGCTGTTGTTGTTGTTAGGTGCCATCAAGTCGAGTAGGGTTCATAGTGGCCCTATGAACCTGTCTGGTGCCATCTTCACACTTCCTGACACATTAGACCCTGTTGCTGCAGTCACTGTGTCATACCGCCTGGTTGATGGTCTTCTCTCTTTCGCTGTCCCTCCACCTTTCCAATCATGATGTTCTCCAGGGAATAGCCTCTGCTGGCAACATGCCCAAGGTACACGAGATGAAGCTTTGCTCATTTTGCCTCCAAGTACTACTCTGGCATTAATGTATTTTATGTGGAAAACTACCTCAGAACAGGCATGTTAAGCCTATAGATGGATGATATATTTTCCCAAGAAATGTTGTTAATAGATGCCATCAGGTCAAGTACAACTCGTAGCGACTCTATAAACCTCAGCTCTGAACCTGTCCTCTTCTGTGCCATCCTCACAGTCTCTGGCATACTTGAGCCCTTTGCTGCAGTCAGTATGTCA